GACAATCTCTTATTCGAATGGAAACTGAGTTGCACAAAACGTTTCTTCGACCCCCCCAAAAAAAAACAGAAAAGAAAAAATTCCATCCTCCAAAATACCAAAAATTGCACGACCTAAACGCTCAATTCTCCGCGGACGGGAAAAAAGCAACACGTGTCTACAAAAAGGAAAAAAAGGCTGCACTTTCCAGTATCGATATTTTCACCGGCAAACGAGAATCAGACCAGAAAAAAGGCCGCGTTACGAGTGCTCTCGTAATTACCAGTTCACGTGGATTTCAGTCGTTTTAATTGAGCCATGCGAAATCCACTAGCGGATAGCGAAAAAAGAAAAAAAAAGAAAAGGGACGGAAAAAGGATAAAACGGATGGAAAATACGGTGGGGGGAGAAAGGAAAAACAACGAACACGAGGTTTTACGCAATATCGTCGATTAAGCGGCTGAAACTTCGGGATGCGGCCGAGCGACCATCTTGTGCAACGTTACGAACCTGGAGAAAGGAGGAAGCCGAAATGATCGAAAGATCGATCGGCATTGGATCGACGTGAATCGGTGAGACGCTGATTCTGTCGGTTAAACCGTGTCTCCTAATCGCTGTGAAATTGTCATATCATTCGCGAACGGTTTTCTGAGACGAGAAACCACCCGATATAATTGCCTGGCCAGGCTGGATTCGCAGCTCAGTCTTCGTCCCGTACCCGACGAGCCATGCGAGTCTGTGGATCCTCCGCAGCTGGTTTGCTGCTTCTGCTACTTTGTCTGGTAACGTTGATTCATTTTCTTTTCTCGCTTTGCTCCTTTTTAACGCGTTCGTCTGTCGTGGAAAAAATATGAATTTTTAGTAGAACTTCAGAATTATATTAGAAGAAACACATTTGGGGACTTATTTTGCTTGTTGGTAACTGTTTACAATAAAATTAATGTATTGATGTGAAATTTATATTTTTGCGAATTAAGTGGAGTGAGTTCTGATATCGTTCTAAATGGATTGAGGTTAAAGGGTTACGTTAACACATTTGGGAACTTATTTTGCTTGTTGGTAACTGTTTACAATAAAATTAATGTATTGATGTGAAATTTATATTTTTGCGAATTAAGTGGAATGGGTTCTGATATGGTTCTAAATGGATTGAAATAGAATATATTAAAAAATATTAAAAGTATTAGAAAGCGTTAGAAAAATATTCGTTATTTCGTCTTTTGAAACTTTAACAATTGTTGAATTGGCTATGAAATATTTTTTTGTTTGAGGATTTTAGTAAGGTAGATAATTTTTTAGTATTTCTTGGAATATTTCTGAAATATTTTTGGAAATTGTATGTGACATATCTCGTGAAATGTTGATGAATTGTGGTGATGTGGACAAGTTGAAGAACTATAGTTGAAAAAATAGTATTTCCATTATTGTGAATCTTTTGAAGATCCCAGCAAGAGATATTGACGATACAAATATGCATTAAATGTTAACAAATTAAAGTACAATAGACACGTATGGATTTTACTTCAGCTACTATTTTAAATCATATTATAACAATTTCTGAATTTCCATAGTAAATATTAAAAGCATTCTAAAATTTTCTATTTGAGGTATAATATCTCAAAAATTCTCTATCTTTCTTGCAGTAGAACGTCTTTCGAAGTTTTTTAAATATTTTCTGAGTATACTTTGTTCATTGTAACGAAGAAAAGAAGCAGGTAACGCGAGTACCGATAATGAATTACGAATGAAAATGTATCATTCTAATTGGAGCCTTTCGATACTCTTATGAATTATTTTTCAAGGAATTTCGTTCGTTACAGTGACAAAAGTATTACAAAGGTATTAAAAAAATTCAAATTTGAATATTCTAATTCCAAAACAGAAAAATTCACGTTGATCCAACCAACCAAATAACTTTCAAAATATTTAATTCACATACGTACGTGTATTTCTTTTAGAAATTCTTCGTTCGAAAATTATCATCCTTTTTAATACAAAAATGGTCTCATAACAGATCTATTTATTACATAACGAACAATTACCACGTAAGATTGTCCTAAAAAGTTCCTCGCAAAGAAATGGCGGTGTTCCTCAACCATGACCGAGTATAATTGATTTCTACGGCTACAAATCTTCTCAATTGCGACACCTCCCTTTCACAGGCAACAAAATCGACGACAAATGCAGGAATCGCGAGGACAGGAAGAGCAGCCACGTTAAATGCAGAAACAACCGAGTCCTTGGTTCCTCACAATCCGAGGAAAATTAACAACGAGATTCTGTCACTGGTAGAAAGTAAAAATTTCGCTGCTGCAAAGAATGATGCTGAAATCACCTTGGATCAACAAGTGGACCAGTCGGAAATAGTGCTGTTGAACGCTGACGACGTGAAAGACTTGGAGAATATCGAGCACGCTTTATCTATCGTTGAATACGAACCTCAGAAGATCAATAAGAAGGGGAAGAGGAAGATTGTGGGCATTTTTAGCGGCAATCCCGGTGAATAAAATTAAAGTGACAGTAGTGTGTACGAACTTCTCGTAGAAAAATTTCAGTAAATTCAAAATATTATTAAAATATTAGAGCAGATGTTATTTTATTGTACTGTTCATATGTTTATATTTTTTGGAAAATTTCTACATGGAAAATCAGAAGGCTCGCATCAACATGCAATCTTTTTATTTCAATCGATACGTTAATTAATTTTTAAAATAATTAAAAAATGAATTAGCTTCATTTGAATTATTCAAATCAATTTGCACAAATTTGAAGAAATTTTTAATTTTACTTTTAAAAAATGAATATTTACTTTTTAGATACTGTAGTATCTGGCAGTGAAAATGCAAATCTAGCGTCTCCAGAAATCGCCGACGTCTATTACGAGGTACCGCGAACGGTGCAGCCAAACAAAGTGATAATAACGCCGCAATACTACTCAAGACCAGTTCAAAACGTCCCAAAATCCTCAGAAATCGGACCGAAGCCCAAACAAAGGGACATAGAATACATATACCCAGTCTCAACACCTAAACCAATCAAACAAAGGTTCTCCAGGACTCGTTCTCCGTTAAATCCTCAAACCAGTTCACCAACGGAAGAAACCAAACTTGAAAACACTCCCGTGCCACGAATCACACCTCCATACAGACAATACTCGACACTATCCACCGAACCGAGGAAACAGAAATACTACACAGACACAATAATCACGACAACACCCTCGAGCGACGTTTCTTACAGCACAAAAGCCACCAGAAGGAAAAAGAGTCGAAAACGTGTGGTGGATAAAGTTTACAGTTCCCAAGAGAGTAGCAATAATTATCCCAGTGAACTTCCGAAAGGTCGAACGTCGACTAATCCTGAAAGTAGGAACAAATACAGGAGATTAGGATTGGCCGCTAAGTACGACGTAGCACCTAGGCCATTTTCTGCCAGCAGATCTGCCAAAGGAACTCAAGAGAGCAATTTGGAGAAATTAAGCGACGAAGGAGTAGCTTCCGGAGTAACTCGTGCCTCTAACAGTAGAAATACACATTCGAATTCGGCTAAGAGCAGCGACAGTGAATCGAATAGTTATTCAAGGACGACGGAGCCTGTTAGAAGCTATCTGCCTAGTTTGAACAGGAAATTGTACGAAAGGAAGGACGCTAAAGAGAGTTCTACGGTGAATGTGAATGTGAAGGATGGTCCTCGTTTGAACGATCGTCAGAAAGAGTCTTTCAAGCCAGAAAGACCAAACCCTCCCTACAAGAATCATCAGATCTCTGAAACAAGTGGTTCTTTCGAGGACGAACGTTCGAACGACAAGTCAGATTTAAGTTTATCTAGCAAAGTGTCTTCGGCGACTCCGTCAAGTTTGGATCTTTATCAGAATGTGAAAACTCCAGTGGTTACTGTGCATTCAGCTAGCCCAGTTGTGTCCACGGTGACACCGTATACGTTACCCAACTTGTATTCGAGCAATTACGTCTATTATCCGCCATTAGTGTCCACTTTGGCACCCGCGCAACATTTCGAAGTTAGCACGATAGATTCCTGGGACTCTGAGGCGAAATTGAGCCAGCCGAAGAAGAGAAACGAGGAGTTGATAGAGGGTGAGAGGAAAATTGACGGGGGAGAAACTTCTGACGGTGTTGCAGAGGCTAGCAGCGATGGGAGTGACGATGGCGAAGGGTTGAAAGCGAGTGGGAATTATGAAATACACGAGACACCTGATGAAGGGAATCAGAGCGGAGATCACGGTGACAATCATGATCATCAAGGTTACGAGTATATTCAGGATGAGCAAAGTGCGAATGGAGGGGATGATTCTGGTAATTATCATAATTATGGGGGCGAAGGCCATGGGAGATATGCACAGAAGTTTGATGATACGAGGGGAAAGAATGTTTTGAGCGATGGGTCGTATGATAGTGAAAGTCATCAGGGTGTGAAGGAGGGTGCAGCAGGTAGTGACGCAAGTGGACAGGTGAAATTTGAGAAGGGCGAAGGCACGGAGAGGAGGGAGGAACACCATGGGACTGACGGTGAAAAGGGGGAGAAGGTGGAGTATTAATTGAATTAGAATAATTATTCGGGCGAAGGCACGGAGAGGAGGGAGGAACACCATGGGACTGACGGTGAAAAGGGGGAGAAGGTGCAGTATTAATTGAATTAGAATAATTATTCATTTCGACTTGATATTCCTCAAGTTATGAAATTTGAGAAGGTAGAGTATTATGAATTAATAGAATTAGAATAATTATTAATTTCGACTTGATATTCGTCAAGTTATGAAATTTGAGAAGGTAGAGTATTATGAATTAATAGAATTAGAATAATTATTAATTTCGACTTGATATTCCTCAAGTTATGCAATTTTATTTTAAACATTGAAAATTGCATTTCTTTTTAATGATGGCGATAGTAATCTATCGGATAATTGTAAAATAATTGAATTAGAATAATTATTAATTTTTACTTGATATTCTTCAAGTTATAAAATTTTATATTGAATATCGAAAATTGCACGTTTTGTTAAAATGATGATGGTGAGAGTAAGCTATTGGTGAGTATCTAATCTTGGAGAGTAATCTAATATAATAGAATAATTGTTAATTATTATATATCTTTCGACATGATATTTCACAGTGATGAAAATTTGTATTGTACATTAAAATTGAGTTTTTTATTTCTTTTTTAAATGAAGTAATCCATTGTGAAAGTGACCTAAGCAAGAAATATAAAAAGCTGAATTTGTCATTAATCTTTCTTAAAAAAATTATTGAAAACTGAAAATAAAAGGGATATTTTCTGGAATTGCAAAGACCAGATATTTGAAAACTGAAAATATAAAATTTTGCTCATTTACACAGTCATGAAACAACACAAGTTGTCAATTATTGTATTATATTTACTTTCACGTGAAAAGAAATACTTGAAGTTTTCATCTTTCAGAAATAGGAACAAGCTAAAGGAAGAAAGTTTGAAGAAATTAATTCGGCTATTTTAACGACAGTGTGCTTACTGTTAATACAGTAGCTGAATAGAGCCCTGATCTGTTTAATTTCTGTTTTCCGTAGGGCTACAAGAGCTGGCACGAGCACGAGAAAGCCAATAAGGGTCACCACGACAAGGAAAGGAAGAGCAATTATTACAACGAGGAGGATGGTAAGGAGAAGGAACAGAAAGAGGAGGGTGGATACCATGAGGAGCATCAGGAAGGCGAGAAGGGTGCGAAAGATGCGGAATTTGGGGAAAAGGGCGAACATCAGAAGGGTTACAGCACCAAGGGAGAACATTCCGTGCACAAAAAGGTAAGTTTTAGGAGGAATGATAGTTCTACTTCCATAAAGTTAGAAGAATTATCCCTTCTATCGTGATTCTATATTTCTCAATACTTTCAATTGGACTTTTATACTTTTTAATTTATTTTCTAAGCTGACAAATTTCCATTCTTAGACACAACACTAAATAATCTCTTATTTATCGTTCCTGTTACTTTTAATTAAAATAAAAGAAGAATAAAATACTACACCAGAAAGTCAAAGAAAAATTTTTTTAAATAGAAAGAAAATTTTAGAAATATTCACCAATGTGACTGAATGATACAATTGAATAAGAAGTTAATTTATGTTACCCATCTCTTCTTACTTTCAGTGTTAAAAATACATTTCTTTTCTATCAAAGTTTTTGTTTTCTTAATTAAAAAAAAAAGTGTTACTTCAAGTAAAATTTGGACAATATCTTCGTCAGGACGAGTTCGAGAAGCGAACAGAGTTCTTCGACGAGTTCCACGAGGACGGCGACGTGGAGAAGGACGGCGAGTTCTATCAAGAGCACGAAATGTCCAAGGGCGGTAACTTCAAGGTGGGCCACCACAACGAAGACGACCACAAGGAGATGTATGGCAAGGAGGGGAAGCACGAGAAAGGAAGCCACTATCACGATAACGAAGGGCACAAGATCAGCGAAGGCAAAGACAGTCATTATGATAATGAAAATATGCATGGGAACAAGAAAGATGTTCGTGATAGAAAAAAGTGGTCGTATAAGAAAGGCGACGATGGAAACGCCGGTGAAAAGAAGCAGTGACACCGTTCCGTCTAGCAATTGCAGAGATTTTAACGTAGTTTCGATAAACTCAATACTATTTCTATATTTTTGTACATTATACTCTCACAAGTGGGTGGTCTTTCAGTGTAAAATAATCTGTGCGCGTATGTGTACCTTCGGAGACTTCGAGAAGTTCGATATTGTTGTGACAAAAGTATTTTATTCAAGCGGTGGACTTGAATTACGGAAAATTTTCAGATTTTATCGGCTATTTCAATTCGATCCGACGATTGAAAAATCTTGAAATCGTGTTTAAAATCAGAGGACACTGAAAAATCTCTGCGATTGTTGAATAAAACCTCCGAAACATTTTTACCACACTATGGATATCGACTGCCTAAACGAGCATTCGCTGGTAATTAGCAATTAAAAGCTCGAATACCAGTTACCCCGGTGTTATTTGCTAACTGCGAGCGAAAATATTTAGCGAAACCGCTGATCCGCCGGTCGTCCACTTAGCCCACGATTCTTGTAAATATAACCAGATTATTTACACGTTTTTACACGCACCAATTGTTATACCTGTCGTTTCTGCAATGTAAAATGCAGAAACATTGTTGTACTTGTTATAATAAACGTTTCGAACAGTGGCAGACGTTACTACTGTCACCTCAATTTCATTCACTTAGCGACGTAACAGAGACACGCCGCCGCACCGGTGAAATTCATTTGTTCAAAGCTGGACCTTGTTCTTTTCCCTTGTCCCCGTGTCATTTCCTCTATGAGAAGGAACGCGAAAGCCTGTAAAAGATGAGCGTCTGCGTGAAACTGCGTCGTGGTGTCGTCTTAACGGAGGACAGAAAAGCGACAGGGTGGACAAACACGTTGCGCTGTTCTTGGAAATTGTATAAGAAGGATGTTTCGAGAGGAGAAGAGACAGAGAAGTTGGTTTCTAGAGGAAGATTCTTGAGGATTCGACGAAGAAGTGCACTCTGGAATGTGTCTGACTTCGCGGCGAGGAGGAAAAGAAATTAGGAAAGTTGTTGTTCAAATGTATAATATACCGGGTGAGTCGTTTCGAAGTGGAGAGTTTTTAATGGAAATTGAATTTTCATCTGGTTTTTTGACAATTCGAGATGATATTAGGAAATTATTTTCTCTCTTTGGACGAATGGCAGGTTATGGTGGAAGTGTTGAAAGGTTTGATGTTGATTTTGAGTCACTCTCTGTGTTAGATAATTTCGTAGGCTAGAAACCTGACGGGTTATAGTGAAACTTTTGAAGAGAATTGAAAGGCGATCAATCAAAGTTTGGTGAATTGTAGATTATAGCGTTTCGTTATCTGATATTAGAGGAAGTATTGTACGCTATGTTGAGGTATTTCAAGCAAAGTTGATGAAAATTTCCACTCCTGTCGATGTACCCTGTTTTCAAATATATCATTTTGCAGTTTTAGTCGATTAATTGATATTAAGTGCAAATCTAGAACCCAAAAGACTACGTAAAGTTGAAGAAAATGTTCCACAGTATCACTCTAATGATTCATCGTAGAACTTTCTGTCGCTAATCAAATCAGTCTACAATTTTATGCACTTGAAGGCTTTCTTTTATTGACTGACATTGTACAGTGTACGCATAGGCGAATGAAGCACAAATCAACCAAGATTTCTAAAAAAAAAATTGAAATAAAGTCGTAGTTAATTTCGTCTTAGATTCTTTTACTTCCAATCACACCTTTATGCAATTGAAATCGTTCCACAACCTAACATCAAATGGAACAGAGGCCATACAACACTACAATTTTCCAACAAAAATTATGAAATTCGTCGAGTCACGTCGATTCAACAAACGTGAATCCCTCTTAAGCACAAAATTACGTTACCAATGTACACATCTATCTCACCTCCGTCTATTCAATCACCAGCCTAATCCATTCTCCCAAATTTACCTCCAAAGAGAAACGTACAGGCAAACAAACCTATGTAACCCAGTTCAATTAAATACTTCCTCCACAGAAACAAATTCGTTAAAATTGAAAAAATTCTATAAATGGTTGAAAGATCTATTTAACCCTTTCGCTGCGGCAAATTTTAGTACATAACGCTTGTGGCGGATTCAGATGTTCCACAACGGCTGCAAAATTTCCCTCTTTGGCCGTATCATTTTCAAATTTGTCTCATCGAATTAACGCGAAAGAGCGCAGAAGAGAAAATTGAGGCTTAAATTAACATAGAAGTGCGCCGAAAGGCTCCAAAAGCACGATGTAAGCAAATCTTCAAAGCGTCTGTAGGCGCCAATAGCAGTGAAAGGGTTAATACTTCTCTAAAAAGTGAATACCTAAACAAGTTAGTGTGAAATAAGAAATTCAACGTGAAAAAAAGGAATCCTAAGTGGCACAATTTTAGCAACTCTCCCTCGTTCCCTCCAATCAACCAGTCATCGTGCATTCTCTCCATCATTCCTCGCACACTTTCAAATATCGATCCGCATTAGGTGGTTATTAGTCTCTCGCTGGATCCAGCTGCGAACGTCGCGGATGCCTGCGACAGGTGATTTACAATCAGCAGTCGATATCACCTTTCTTTTTTTAGTAAGATAAAAGGCGGCCGGTCGTTTCGAATCGAAAATGATTCATGTCTACGACAGATCGTCGTTAATGGCGGCGATATTGCTGGTCATTAGTCCGTTTTCAAGTGACACGTCCACGGATGAGCCTCGTGTGAAGCGACACCGGTTCTATATAGTCGGCAGCGAGCTATCGTCACGTATCGTGCACCGAACGACACGGTGACGCGTGCCTCGTGGTGACCCATATGCAATAAAAGTGATACCGTTATCAGGCCAATCTCTTTCGTATACTCTGAGATAACTTACCGTTCCAATCCTGCCTGTTTCTCACGCTTGAACCGATTATCCAGGAGAAATAACGTGCAACGGGGATGAACCGGATTTTGGAATTGGTTTTAATTACGCACGTGTGTTGTATATGGCTGTTGTCAGACGTCTGATCATTGCAAACTGAATTCCCTTCTTTTTTCTTCTTTTTCTATTTGGTCGGAGATATTTTTGGGGAGAGGCAGAAATGGTGAAGGAATTATTCGGGAAATTTAGCTATTTTAATTTGGAAAATGGTGCACGTGAATTTTGTGGTTTGTGGAAGAGTTGAGCGGAAAGTTTAATGGTACGTTTATTGATAATTTCTGAAGAAAATTGCAAGTCTGAGAATTCGGAAAATTGTTCGAAGAGTTTCTTTCACAGTTCTGATTCTCATTCGAAAATGTTCAGTTTCTCAGGAATTTTCGAATTTTCCTGAAAACATTTTTAAGGAATTTGTGGTACATGGGTAAAAATTGAAATTTTGGTATTTATTGTACAATTAATTCCTTCGTTATATGAAGATTAGAGATTGATGAAGAATCTAGGAATTTGAAAGCTTGTTCACAGTCAGACACTCGTCGATATTTCGAGCACGTTACACTTCGAGATTGTATATTTAATTTGTCGAAATGCACGACGTCCTCGAAAGTGAAAATTCGTGTCAACTCGGTGTTTGCCCAATTGGGGGTGATAAATTTCCGAGACTTGTGTTTGACTGCTGGGTGCAGTGTGATTGGTAGAAAGTTCGGGGGAAGATTAATATAGATTAACAGTGAAATCTTCGTATCCTCTTACTATCAAATCAAATAAACCAATCGAATCTTCTTATCCTCTTACTATTGTGGAATTGGTTTAATAATAAGATGTGAGTGATGGCGTGAATGTAGTGAGTATATCGTATGATCTCGAGATTTGGTAAACGAGCGGATCATACAGGGTAACTGGGGGTAAAAACAGGTGAAGCGCGTTGCTATTGATATCTGAGAGTACGTGAGAATTTATTGCGAGATATATTTAGAGAGGGACAATCAAATTATCATTATTTCTTTTACGTGTGTATTTAGTTACTGTTGTTATAAAATATTTTCATATTTAACTTGTTAACAAGTGTTATACAACCACAATTATCAAATCAAATAAACCAAAGTCAATCAAATGTTTCCACCAATTGTACAAAAATTCTCAACATTAGCCAATTACAAACATTCCATTATCATTCCTCTATTAAAATAGTTAACCACATTAATTTCCAAGACAAATTTACGATTAAATTTGATCATTTATACCTTAATTTGTTTGTAAAATTTGAGCTGCAAAAATGAACGCTCATTTCAGCACAACTACAGTTACTACCATTAATATTTGGATACTCTTTAGAACAGTGTAACTTTTTAAAAATTTGACCAAACGAGTTGAGTTTTGTTTGAGAAGTTAGGCCTAGTTTACTAGATGACTTGTCCAAAAAATTTAGAAAAAATTTCAATTTCAAATTCTCCCAAGCACGAAAACCTATCGACGTACTGTCATGCAAAACCGGTACTTACCGTTTTTGGTATATCGAAATTTCGAAATTTATGCGTAAATCCGTTTCTCCGTTGAAACCGTGGATTCCTTAAATTAGCAATCGATCGAACCGGTACGTCGATCTCTGACAATGCGGAATTGTTTATTTTTCATCGGATTCACGGTTACGTATGTCGATGAAATTCGATTCCGCAGCGGTTACGTGATGTCTCAATCAATGTCAGACATTTTATTCGACGAATTAAACGCGCGTTGTCACGCGAAGATAATGTTACGCTGTATTGTACAAGAGGAAAGTACAATTACGATACAAAGGATTTCGCGGACGTCGATGTTAATTAACGTTTTAACGCGTCGCGTAATTGCGATCGATTAGCCGGGCATTATTAGCCTGCCACGTCGATGGAGCTGTAAAAAGTGCCGCGGGAAATTGTTAACTGTATTAATTCCATCCACTTGGCGTACTTTGGACAAACTTTTGTTGAAATTACAAAGAAATTTATTTCTTTTAATTCGCTTAAAAATTAAACGGGGGATTTTAACAGAGTATTCGGGACAAAGATTAAAACACTTGGTTTTTTTACTTTACTTAAATTCTACATTAATATGATAGAACATTAACAGTTGTAGTACAGAAC